CCGAGCTACGTGTTATTAATTATTTTAAATCATTTTTTTAAATACTAATACACACTATTTTTTTATTCAATTATTTATGTGGGGTTTTATAGATAACAAAATTGTTCCTTTTAACAAGTGGAGAGTATCTATTTATATTCTAAATAGATACAAACGAATTTATTCAGGATTTTTTTTTTATATTTTTTTCTAAAGGTCTAATTTGTTGCATAATTGCATTATTAAAAATAGAAGTGGGAGAACACAAAATATTTTCATGTAATAGAACATTTAGTGATATTTTTTTATTTGTCGTCATAATTATGTCACTAATACTATACAATAAAATCTCGATAAATTAATAACCTTGTTTAAATAATAAATTATTCCGGTCCTAACTTGGTGAGAACATCTAAATTATTAACTCGATAATTTAATATTTTGCTAAATTAATAAAATTTCTAGAGTCATGATTGTATTAAGGGTAAATTCCACTTTCACCATTGGACTTTGCTCAATATCACTTTACCCCCTTTTACTCTCGATTGAATCGATTTGCCCCATGTACTTGAAAAATTGTATCGATGTGACGTCGTTAGTTTTCAGACCTTTGACCTTAACACCGTTTGATCTAAGTCTGAAAATTACAAAAAAAACCACCCCTCCCAGTTTAAATAATAAAAAAAAATACAAAAAAATTAATGTATGGCTGTCGTCGTGGACTATACGTTCTCGTTGTCTTGAATTTTTTATTTTTATTAATTTTTTATTTTTTGTATTTTTTTTTTGTTTTTTAATAATTATTTGAACTGGGAGGGGTCGCGTTTTTGTAATTTCAGAGTTTAGACCAAACGGTGTTAATGTCAAATGTCTGAAAACTAACAACAATGGCCACATTGATACAAATTTTCAAGTGCAAGGGGACAAATCGATACAATCGAAAGTAGAAGGAGGTGAAGTGATACCGAGCCAAAATACAGGGGAGGAAAGTGGAATTTCCACCATTAAATGCTACTATGAAATTAAATCATAGGGGCTGTTAAACTATGATAATACTATTTTTTCTTTAAACTACATGTTAATTTTGTTAAATAAAAAGTACAAAAAATGAACAGATTTAATACAAGATCTAATCTAATGAATCGAGTATTTTACTAACTAAATAATTAATTAATCAGTCGGCCATTAATCCAAAGTAACCTGATATAGGTAAACGAAACGAGCCCTAACTATACTAACTCCATATTTATTTAAAGAATAATAGTGAAACTGCCTTTTGTGCTTAGAATCTATTTTAAAAGGTTCTCTATATATGAAAAACCAAAAAACAAAAAAACAAAATAGTGTCTAAATCAAAATTCTTCCGACAGCACACAACTATTGAGCTTCATGTGCAAAAATATTAAAATATATCAAACAAGAAAATAAAAAAAATAAAAAGATAGAAAAAAAGACAAGAAACATTGTCGGGCCACCTTCTTATCATGTGAATCGGGCCGGAGAATGTCCGTGGCCCGGCCCGATCCGATCCGACCGGACCCCTCCCCGACAGTTTGGAGCGGAGCTCCGATCCCTCTCATCAATCCACTACCCCTCCACGCATCTATGCTCCCTTCTTTTGTTCCTTCTTTTGTCTTTGCTTCACTGTGTGTATATGTGTGTGTGTGTATATATATATATATATATTTAAAAAAAAAAAAAAAATTTGAATGTAATACATGTGGGCTTTCTAAATTCAAATATCGACACGACATAACATAATAGGGTTGTAAAGGATTTCTTTTTTCCTGTAAGAGATAACTGAAACACGTACATTTTGTTTTTTAACTTTCTTATTATTAAAACTAAATTTTAGTTAATGGGTTAAGTATATGGCTTAGTGGGCTTAGTGGGTTAAATTGTGAATATTATTTTAACTACCCAACTAACCCACTAACCCATGTTCTTGAGTGCTCTTGTAGTTGGTTTTCTTGCAGATCATGGGCTGAGGAGTGGATGCTTGGAATGCCTATAAATACGACTTCAATACTCAAGGAATTGATCGATTCTACGAAATAAAAACCAAGGGCTGAAGAGAATACACGAGTGTTTTAGTTAGGTTTTAGAATCGGTTGTTTGTACTCTTCGTGAGTACATTCTTTACGTACTTCTCATAAGTACATTCTTTGTAGTCTAGATTGTTTAGTATATATGTTTCTAGACTTGGTTGTAAGAATGATCAAGATAGTGATTCATTCATAAGTTCTTTACGTACTCCTCACGAGTACATCTTTGAAATCTAGAATTTTTAATATTTTTCTTTTTGTATCTAGATTTGATTGTAAGAATGATCTTGAAAAAGATTCATTCATAAGGAAGAAGTTTTCGCACCTCTTCTGTTTGTATTCTTGGAATACTGATTTTAATATATTTTTCGTCCTGTAAAGGGCAAGTTCACAAGTCTTTACTTGTGAACATTTTTTAATTCTGAGTATTGTTCTTTTATCTTTATATTTCCGCTGCATGTTTGTTCAAGTGTCATAACACTTAAGATAACACCTCTGTATTAAACGAATTCGGGACCATAAATTCTTTCAATTGGCATCAAGAGCCAACACTTGACGTATACTAAGTGTTTGTTCCTATTTTTCTTTACAGAAACGAATTCGTGATGGATACTCAGATGACTGCTTCTATGCGACCTCCTGTACTTGATGGCACAAACTACACCTACTGGAAAGTCAAGATGAGGGCGTACATCAAAGCCATTGATGAGAGAGCCTGGAGATCTATTCTCACTGGATGGAAGCCACCAACTATCACAGACGTGGACGGGGATGTGTTTCCAACTCCAGAACTACGGTGGACACCAGATGATCTTGCAAATGCTAACCAAAATTCAAAGGCGTTAAATGCAATTTTTAATTCAGTAGATTTAACAATGTTTAAATTAATCTCTGTATG